GTCTCTCTGTTCCTCCAGAGCTCCCACAGCAGCATGTCTGTAAAGAGGAGGAGGTTCTCACTGACCAGCAGCTCTGTAACCAGGAGAGGAACTCCGGTCTGGAGCAAGAGGAACCAAAACCTTTGCAGATTAAAGAGGAACCAGAGGAAATCTGGATTGGTCAAGAGGGAGAGCAGCTCGTACTGAAGCAGGAGACTGAAACCTTCATGTTGACTCCTTATTATGAGGGACTCTACCACAGTGAGCACCAGCTCCTCTCTCACAACTCTAATGTGGCTGAGAGTCAAGATCAGAACAGAAGAAACCTTATGGATTTAGGATCAACAATAAATGACTCAGAGATTGACTCTAATACTCACACAGGTGAAAAGTCTTTCAAATGTGACACTTGTGGAAAAGCTTATGTGTATGAGTATCAATTGAAAATACATCTGAGAGTCCACACAGGTGAAAAACCATATTTATGCATAATATGTGGAAAAGCATACATTACTGTGTTCAGTTTAAAAAGGCATATGACAAGTCACACAGGCGAGAAGCCATTTTCTTGCAAAATATGTGGGAAATGTTTTGGGCGCAGTGGCGTCTTGAAAGTACACATGAGGAGTCACACAGGTGAGAGGCCATATTCTTGCGAAAGTTGTGGGAAGAGTTTCAGTGACATTTCAGCATTGAATAAACATATGAGTGTGCACACAGGTGAAAAGCCGTTCTCTTGTGAAACATGTGGGAAATGTTTTGTAAGTAAAGGCGTTTTGAAAGTACACATGAGAACTCACACAGGTGACAAGCCGTACTCCTGCAGCTTCTGTGGGAAAACATTTAGAGAGAAGTCAGGTTTGAAAAAACACATAAGCATGCACACAGGTGAGCAGCCATTCTCTTGTGAAACATGTGGGAAAGGTTTTGTATGCGCTAATGATTTGAAGGTCCACATCAGAACTCACACAGGTGAGAAGCCGTTCCCCTGCAGCACATGCGGGAAAAGATTTCGTGAGAAGTCAGGTTTGAAAAAACATATGAGCGTACACACAGGAGAGAAGCCGTTTTCTTGTGAAACATGTGGAAAAAGTTATGCACGTAGTAGCATCTTGAAAGTCCACATGAGATCTCACACAGGTGAGAAGCCGTACTCCTGCAACACTTGTGGGAAAAGATTCTATCAGTTGTCAGACATGAAAAAGCATTTAAGAGTTCATACAGATTAAAAGTTGTGTATTTACATGTGAGAGAGTTTTCTGTCTTTGTGATTTGATGGTCCACAGTTCACACGGCAACACCTTGGGGTAAAGATATTTTGAAGTGACACATATCGATAATATTAGAGGAGATCACAAAGATCAGAGACTCGACCTTTAACGAGCCAAAACTGTTTGATTTAAATTTGCACCCATTCCCTTTGAAGTAATCACTTTTTGCAACAAAACACTTTGAAATGCTCCCTAGAACCCCCCCAAAATTAAAATTCTTGGAAAGATATTTCTATCAAATGTATATTTCTTGAAGGGCGGGGTATAGCTCACCTGGTACAGGTGGATTTCTTGAATGATTTTTATTTTACTATTTCCCAATCTCAATTATATGACGTCATATAAAGTTTGTGATATTGAAGATGTTAATTAATGTATAAAGTCTGTGATATTGAAGATGATACATTTATACATTTGAGATATTGAAGATGGTAAATTATGTGGTACTGTGGGTTCATCCTGTCAGTTAGTGTATTTTTTGACAACATCAAATTGATCCAATTTTGATCATTTCAGGCTTCTAATGTAAAACATTTAAGTTGTAGATGTTCTTTGTGGCCTATATGAAATATACCATATGAATAAAGTTGAATTTTGTCAGAATATCTCTCTCAATGATGGTTCATCAAACTGATGTTCACAAATTGATGGATTGAATAAAGAGGGTAATTATGAGCACCATCAGTCTAATGGCGTATCTATGCAGTCTTTACTATTACTTCACTATGTAACCATCACTGCTCATAACCATGCGTCCTGAATGTTTGCATGGGAACATCCACTGTAACGGAAACTCAGAGCCAAGAATTTCAGACGATTCCAAACATGGCAACGATGAAGGTCTTTAAAAACCACCTCTAAAGCAAAATCATGCAACAACTCACAGTAAAATAACAGCATCAAATAATTTTGATTATTATTATTTTGCAAGGACTACAGCACAACAATGTATAATTAACTGGTGTATAGGGTGTTGAGGGTGTTGAGGTGCAGATTCAGCTGAGAGCCTGGTAGGGAACAGATAGAGGCTGAAGAGGTCACACACACACACATAGGTTTTCTTGGCCCATGTCCAATCCCCCCCAACACGTTTTGTGGACATATGTTCAGCAGTTTCTGCATAATCCAGCCGACAAACCAACCAATGGACAGACCAATTTGTGAAAATTTTATTTTCTCTCCAGCTGAATTTCATTGATGACTTTGTAAGTTATTAAGCAATCCATTATTTTGCAGTAAAACCAATGAACAGAGATGAAAGAATTAATTGCAGATACATTGCTACCACTTAAACCGATGATGCTCAGACTTCCTCCAATGATTCAGTCCACAGGTTCGT